ATTTTGCGGATGCTAAACTAGACAAAAGCAGCATTTGGTTTATCTTTTTTCTGTGAAATTTCTGAGATGCTAAGCTAGAGAAATTTGCTAATGAGATAACCTAATTTGATAGAGTTTTTAGTTAGAACACCAGCTCGTATTGCGGTGCTCTTAATGTGGGATGATGGGATCGTTTTTGTTTTTTTCCGCTTTCACTCGTGATTCTTGCATTTTGATTCAGTAAAATGGAGGGTTTGTGTTTCTTGAAATCTGTGGGAAAAAAAAAAGAAGAAAAATTTGAAATCTCACTAAAATGTGCATGAGCTATGTGTTTATTAATAAATTTGGTTTTCTCATTAGCTCCTTAAATCTTTTTATGTGATTCTTTTTGCAAAAAATGATCTTTGATGGACATTTGAAATGAATTTCTTAATGATGTCATTTTTCATTTTAAGAATGGATAATCTTAAGTATGCTTGTGTTGTGTACTTGGATGTCTTTTTCCTTAGACTGGATTTGATTTCCTTTTCTGTATTTATTTGCTGTTCTAGCCACAAACTAACTAAAGCCAGTTTGAAATTTAGCCCTCCCTTTAAAACTTAAAGTAAGATTTACATCTTGCAATTACTATTTTCAATAATGTTCAGAAGTTAGTCACAAGCTTATTGATGTAAGTAGGCTCAGAAAAACAGAGTTACTACAAGTTATAGTTGAACAAAAAGAGATAATGTTTTAGGAATACATAGCAATTTTGGTGGCAATACCTTGTTGCACAGCCATATGCGCTTTCAACCTGGCTTGGACTGAAGCTGTGAGTGTTGGTTTAGAGAGGATACTGACATTTTGGATGAAGCAGAGTTGGACTACCACCCAAAATCAGAACTACTTTTTTTTTTGGATATTAAAGTAGGGTTCGAAGCCTAACTGTTTAGCTTATATGTAGGAAAACAAGTAAGTGAAACTAAACCCAAAATGTGGTTTCCTCAACAGTTAGTCTGCTTCTTATTTTAAATTTTTTAAATAATAAAAAAAATAGAAGAGAGTTTGTTGATAAAAGAAAAAGGAAAAAGCTGTTATAAAACTGAAGTTTGGTCTAGGGAAGCCTGTGTATACATAGCTCTCAGGGTTATTTAGCACTTCTGCATCTGCTTGAAACTGCATTTGTAATTGTTTTCTAAACAGCAATCCATGCCCCCCTCCCCCCACCTTCCTTCAACACCCTCCAGTTGTACTAAAATTTTATACAACTTAAAAGGTGTTTTTTAATTATCCTGTTTACAATTGAAACTCAATCATTCCCTCACTTTCTTTTTTCTTGGTTTCATGTTATTGTGGTTAGTGAAAGCATATTGTGATTACAGGGCTTTGTGGTGTACCGTGTGCGTGTTAGACGTGGTGGGAGGAAGAGACCTGTGCCCAAGGGTATTGTTTATGGGAAGCCCACTAACCAGGGTGTTACTCAGCTCAAATTCCAGCGCAGCAAGCGCTCGGTTGCTGAGGAACGTGCCGGCCGTAAACTTGGTGGCCTCAGGGTTCTCAACTCTTACTGGATTAATGAGGTTTGCAACTGTCAATCTATGTAACACAATCTCGTAGAAACCCATTTTCCATTCTCCTGATGAAATTAATAAAACTCAACTGTAGACATGTACGTGCTAGTATCAATATCTTGTAGATAACTAAACTAACCTTTGTTCGTCAATTTCTCATGATAAATAAACTTGAGTGATTAAGTGGGGTCATTGATTTTGTCTTCAAATTGATGACTAATTAATCCGGAGATAACTAGTACAGAATACAATTAAACCTGCCTGGAGAAGCTAATATCTATGCTTCAATATTGTCTTGAGATTGTTTGCTATTTATTAAGCTGATCAATAAATCCATAATTCTCTGTGTAGGATTCTACTTACAAGTACTTTGAGGTAATTCTGGTTGACCCGGCTCACACTACGATCCGCAATGATCCTAGGATCAACTGGATTGTGAACCCAGTCCACAAACACAGGGAGCTTCGTGGGCTGACCTCGGCTGGAAAGAAATACAGAGGTCTCAGGGGAAGAGGGCATTTGCACCACAAAGCCCGACCTTCGAGAAGGGCCACCTGGAAGAGGAACCAGACCCTTTCTCTCCGTCGTTACCGTTAATTGTTTTCTTTTTAAAGATTCTTGTTTTGTTGGGATAATGGGTTCAATTATCATCTCTTATTTCTGGTCTAAGGATATTATAAAGTCATGTTCTATGTTGTTTTCTTATGTTACCTCGAGTGACTCGGTTGAATGCCTTGGGATTTTGATGGCCTTGTTGTCATTGGGATTTTTTTTTTCTTGTACTGTTTTTTCCCTTTATGTTTGTGGATTTTCATGGCTATGAAGTTGCTTTCTTACCTGATTTTGAAGCTGTTCATCATCGTACCTGATTTCTCTCGCATCATAGTTGGGTATGATAAAGCTGGGGTTCAATTCATTTGGGCTTCTACCCTTTAAGGTTGTTTAGTCTTCTCGAGCAGAGAATTCGACCCGGTAGGTACGTAAGCTGTACGAACAAATTGATTATTTGATTGGGCTGCTCAATTGAAGAGCTGCGGGAACAAACCCATTTGCAGCCCGGCCCATATAATCTTAAAGTCGTTTGTAACATCATTTATTTTTATTTTACTTTTAGCGATAGCATAGAAATGGTGGTTAATATATAATCTTAAGGTTGGTATGATATGAAAATAACAAAATATTTGTTAACAATGAATGGTAATTAAATATATATCATGAGTAATATATTTAATAAATGTATAGAAATGATTGGTTTTGATTTTTAACTAACTTTGATAATATTAAGGCAAAAAATAACGTACACAAATATATAATATTTTGTGAAAATATTTTGTACCCATCCACAGTCAGGTGTGCGTGAGGCGAACAGAGCATTCAAGCTCGACGAGAAAATCTCAAAAGACGAAAGCAGCAAGGCGTTGCGGCGCGATGGTCGGGACGATTTCGAGAAGTATATATATGAGTGGGAGTTGGCAGATTGTGGATATGCATGGCAGTGCAGGCATGGATGACTTATATTAATTTCTTATATGTAGATAAGATAAATTATGTTAGCCTTATTTTTAGTTTTATGTGTTGGTTAGGATTGTTATAGCCTTATAGGTTTAAATATTTAAAATGATGTTTGTAGTATTATAAAAAGGTCTTCTGTATGCATGTTTGGTGATCAAGTTTTATGAAATAAAGTTTAATAAAAAGGCTCGTATCCGAGTACTTTCTTCGTGAAAAACTGAGGCCGAAAGTGCAGGTTTTTCACTTCATGTTAATGTGTGAACCAAGACCGTCACTGTGGGTTTACACATTTTATCCTATTCGAACAAAGGCCGTTAATGCGAGTTTTTACACAAAATCGAGTCCCGACACACGATCTTCATCAGTACTGTATCAATTATAATAAATAAACAATAAAATCACCATCTAGATTTATATTTGAAAGCACAATGTAGATTTACTTATCTATCAACAAAGTTGTTTAAATCTACTTGAAACTTAGAAAGTCAAAAAGTGAATATTGTTTGGTGTAGGGAGCATAATAACTCAAGATATAAATCACTTCACATCAATATAAAATTTGTAAATATATCATGAATAACAATAATAATAATATTGAATTTGCTAACTTATTCCAATGGGCTGTCCTCCAATGTTAAATTGAAGTAATAATAAGTTATGAAAGCATGATGGGTGATAATAATGATAATAAAAAAGGAAAAGCTGAAATGGCATTTTCATTAATTTTCATCATTGCTGTGGACTAAAGTTTAATTTTTCACAAGTTTCCCAATAAAAGGGGTATCACAAAGTTACAAAAAGGGCTTCAATCTTCTAAAACAACATCATTTAATTTAATTTCTTTTGTACTTTTTTTTTTGAAAAAAAAAATTGTAAATCTTGACTCATATTTTTAAATAGTTTTTACGAGAAGGTCAATACTTAATTAGCTTGTTTAAAGTGGTGATTAATGAAATAAAATTATATGGTCTGAGGTAAATTTGAGTTTCAGTGAATTTAATTGGTTAAAGTTTCCTAGAACCATTGAAGCTGTAAACAAGAGAGCGGACTCGACCTTCTGATACTCGAGATCGAGTTTGAGCGTTTATCGAGTCAAATTGAGTTTGACTTCAACCCTTTATCAAGTCGAGTTACAAAATTAAAAGAGCTCGAGCTTGACTGATTACTAATATTAACTGGTTAAACTAATTCAAACATAATTTAATTTCCATATTCTCACTTTTTAAGTATTCTTACTTTAGAAGGTCCAAATCATTTGTTTGTCCATAATATAACAATATCAATCACCCACTTTAAAGACGTGGAGCGTGATATTTTCATGTATTTTTGAATATCCTTTTCACTCCAAACAATAAAAAATAAAAAAACAATAATAATAATAAAAAACCTCTTTATATTTATTTAATTATAACAAGAATGAGAATGAGATGATGTAGATAGAGCTTGACATGCCATTAGGACCCTTTTTGCCAAGCACACCAAATTCTTTATATTTTAATTAATTTTGTGGGTATCATATGTTTTCAAAGGAGTGATTATTATTTGGATCACATGGATCTCTTAATTAATTGTCCTGTTTTAACTTTTTTAATGATAAAGGTTCAACCTTTTTTTTATGGGTCATCAACATAATAATTTTTATTAATTCCTAATCAAGGATTTAAATTAATATTTGAAGATTAGTTCAGGAAATTGTGATTTTGTCATGGACTGATATTTAATTATTATTCCTCCACTTGAATCATAAATTAAAGTAGCTCTAAATTATAGGGAAATGCTACAGTCCAGTTACGACGGAACTATTCCGTAAGGATTTGTAACCGTTAGATCATCATGTAACCGTCGGAATGATTCCGTAGGGAAATGCTACAGTCCAGTTACAAATTCTAACGGAATGATTCCGTAAAGAGACCGTAGAATCTCTCCTAAATTATATAGTGATCACTTGCATATTTATCTTAATGATACTGCTGTAAAAATAAAAATAAAATGATAGAAACTAAGCTATCACAAAACAAGTCTTTCTGAAAATATTATTTGTCTCCGTTATTTTGTTATTAGGTTTTAATAAATCATACTTATAATAATAGGGTACAATATACACAAAATGAGAAAAATTGCCAAATTTTGATAATCGGGGTATTGGAGTGCGGTCCCACACAATGAAGCGCACCATAAGAGAGTGAATTTAGTTGCACCTTATGAGGTTCCATCTCAAAACTAATTGATGATGGAAGGAATAGCCACTAGGCTTATAAACTAAACTCATTTACCATATCAAATCAATGTGGGACATCTCACAAGTGTTACGCTTTATATTTTTTTTTTTTTTTTTCCAAGTTACACTTTATACTTCAAAAAATCAAATGTTAAACTTTAATATATAATACTTTTTTAATAAAAATATACCTTTTTGTATAGCAGTAATATTCTCATACCCATAATTGACACATGTTAATATGCCTACCGCTTATGTGGCATGCACACATTGGTAATGTTAATATGTTAAAAAAATATATCACCAATGCGTGCATGCCACATAAGCGATGGGCATGTTACCATGTGTCCACCTTAAGTAGAGGAGCATTACTGTTTTGTATAGATAATATTTTGGGCTAATAAAAAAGTAAAAATTGGAATGGCAAAATTTTTGTTTATTTTATATTTCCATCACTTACAAAAAGACCTGTGAGCTGTCATTCTCTATGATTTTCAAACTATTTTAAACAACCATTATACTATTTTAACTCTAGTGTTAAAATAAATAAAAAAAATGAATAGCAAATTCCTTTCATCACAAATGACGCACGTAGTTAAGAATTTTTTATTGTACTATTTTAACTCTGAATGATTGTAAATGGAATTAATTTCAACTTTTTAAATTAAAAGACTTATATACATACGCGGTTTACTTATTGAGGAAAATAATAGTGAAAATGTGTTGGATTGATTAATTAAAGGATATATATGTAAAAAGCATCACATGCTTGCTTTCATTGCTCTTCAAATCTTAAATCATTTTGTCCACCATTTTATCAAATTTCTTTTCACACTATATATAAGTCTGAAATGAAGAAAAATAAAAGATGAAATCAATAATTATTTCATATTGAGGTTTAAGATTGAATATTGAAAAAGTTTGAATTCAAAATTAATATTTGGTCATGCACTCATGTTACAAAAATAAGTTACTATTTTAAAAATTTCAAACTTAATTTCTAGTATTATTTTTTTATTAAAATGACACTCGTCATCTGTAGGACCCACTCTTCTCGTGTAATAATAATTTATTGACTTATATTATATAATAAACTTCGTAGATAAATTTATTTTTATTTTTAAATTAAAATCGATAAACAACTTAGGCCGTGTTTACTAGCAAGGACAGGATTGGATTAGGTCAGTTAACCGACCTAATCTTTTGTTTACTAGGCAGGTTAATGATAGGAAAAAAATGATGTGTAGATTAGCTGGCAGGTGGGTCCGAGGATAATAATATGACGTGTAAGGTTAAAAAAATCTGCTGAAGTTGGTCGGATTTTTTAATCTTCCCTTGTATATTCCAATTTTGTCCAAAATAAAGGCAACAAATTGTCCATTATACCCCTCAATGTCATCAAATTTACAGATCTAGTAATTATAAAACCTAAAATCGACACGATTAAGAACAGCAATCTGCTGAAGCTCGATAACCCTAGCAGCTCGTCCGTAAATGCTCTATCTTCATCTTCTCCGTCGAATTTGATTTGATTTCTTCGTGTTTCTTGTAATTTCTCCTCTTCTGAACTCGCAGGTGCGCTTGTCCTTGGTCGACAGGTCCCGACAAGAAATACCCCAACCCAAATCCGAGGTCATGAATGTAGTAATTTCTGCATCAATTTTTTTTTTTTCTTTCATCGATTTTTTGTGCCGTTGTCGGATTCAGTTGATTTCGATTTCTCCTCATCTGAACTCGCAGTTGATTTTTTGTTCCGTTTTGTTTCATGAATGTACTACTTTCTGCATCAAATTTTGTTGTTAATCTGTGGTATATATATGTGACAGTAGACTCCCATAATATATATGATTGCATTTTTTCCTTTGTTTTCCTTTTAAAGTTGGAACATCAGTGTTATTTAATGGCGTTCATATCTTGGTATTTTTCAATTTCGCTTAAAGATGGATTTCATTCGATAGGCCGAGCTTACAGCAGACACGATTAATGTTAGAGCCCACGTGACAATAGCTTTTGCATTCATTATAATTGTTTTAGAAAGTTTGCTGTTTTAATTCATTTTTGCTGTTTTAATTCATTTTTGGTTTGCTGTTTTAATTCATTTTTGAAA